AAGGTTTAATGAAAAACTGGGAAATAAATCAAATCTTCGTTAAACCCAGCCAAACATTAGTACATTTTTTAATGTCAGAGGAAACCTAGGAGCAATATTAAATAGAGCGATAAAGACTGAATAAAATTGATATAATAAACTTTGGCAAGGTTTTATGTGTTTTAGCACCAAAATCTTAGAATCTCTGTTGGAAGTACATTAAAAGTAAATCCCATCGAACCTAAACCTTAACTCTGATTAAATCTAGTCAAATCCAAGCAAAAAATTGAATTTGATGCATCCATAATGGGTAACTAGAAGACTGACACCCGAACCGATACCTTTACGCTCTAATCCATAAATGTTGATTGGTGAATAAGACTTCTCCACAACATGAATAGAAGTAAGTGAGTTTGTGTTGATAAAATGCAGCGCACCATTTTTTGTGTTCTGTGTTCGACTCGATAGTTTCCTGTGCTCAAGGCTGCCCAAATATAAATTTCATCGAATGTTGCATAGCTTGTTCCGTTTCTGGCTTCCAAATGAAAATAAACTCCACAGTGCAGATGGTCCCCTTCATGGATGGAATTCTTTTCTAGGAAAGCTACTCTTTTGCGTTTTTGGTCAATGAGATGTCTGTAACTGCGGATGTAGAACAAACAGCTGCATCAAAACACATCACACCGGCATGATTGCTTGGACAAATGATGCCGTTAGCTAACAGAATGTGCAAAGATGGCTCAACTATGTAAACTTTGGATGATTTCAGGTGATTTTTTTTGACACAGGCTTTGCGGGATATGGTGTGTGTCATGGCCACTGGCCATGATGCATCCTAAGATACTCATTTATCCTTTCTTACTGGTGTAATTGGGTAGTCTGCTTGTCTTGTGATGCATTATGTTTCATGTGCTTTGTGTCCTATGATACATTCTGATTCTGATTATTCTTTTGTTTTTTTTTGTTCTTTTTCTTTCCATTTTGGAATGTTTATATTTTTTTCGATATATATATACATGTGTTTTGTGTGTGTAAAAGTGTTCTCTCGATTCTGCATGTGTAAAAAAAGAATGAATAGAGAAAGTTTAACAGTGTAGATGCGAGTCTGGGCGTGAGCGTGAGTGTGGATGACGAGTGGTTAGGTGTGCGACAAGGGTAGATGTTAATGTAGCCATTTACGGGCGTTCACACCCACACCTGAAAAGTTCCAAGAGAAATCCCATTAAAAGGGTTGGTTCAATTGATGCTGTAGTTGTAGCTGTGTTGCAAAAGGGTGTGGGTGTGAGTGGAAATAATATCCATACCCACAGACAACTTGATAGATAGAGCTTTAGGATTGAATTCTGGTTAACAACAGATTTGGATTGAGCTTTTTTTCAATGAAATCGAAAATATAAGTCGTAGTGATTCAATAAGAAAATGAAACACCTAATTTGGCAGACATTAAAAATGTTTTTCAAAAAGACGCTTTCTCCCAATGTGTTTTTTTTTGTTCTTTTTACAGTGCTGAAAAAACGTCACGAAAAATTAAAACGGCATTTTTCTTATACGCAAAGCAAGCTTCAGTATGGGCTGTGGATGTGGGTGGGTGTGGATGTGGGTCTGGAACGTCTCTTCATCCACACTTCCAACCATTCCCCCTAGGCACGCCCCACAGTCACTGCCACAGCGACACCCACGCACGCATCTTTTAAAGAAAAAACCAAGATTTTTTATTTTATCGGTGTTGTGATATGTAGTAAATACAGGATGTTGCAAACGTTCTGGGATACCTGTATCTACACACCACATCTTGAAATTGGGAATTTTTGGCAAAATGACCTCATGAGATACAAATGTGAGACTTTTTGAAAAACCAGAACTTCCGAGAAAAATATAAGTTGGGAGGGATGGAATGACTTTTCACTTGTTCCGTTGTATCTCAGTATAGAGAGAGCTAGAATATCCGTCAGAGTAAATGGCGAAACTTTGCTCTGTTGCTTAACAGGCTCACCTTGTTCGAATATGTGTCGTCGCCGCAAGCAAAATTCAAAATGATTTCAATGTTTTTTGCAGAGAAAGAACATACACTTTTCTCTCTTTCTCTCGCGCTTTCGCTATTCCTTTCTCACTCTCAAAATCTCGGCGAGGAATTAATTCTTTTTTGCAAATGAAGTGAGATGCCGTACACTGCACTTGAGTGACTTTTTATTGGTCGATCCACTAGTGAAGGAAACAACTGAAATCAACATCACTCTCCTTGAGCAACACTTACATAGTGTAGGGCGAGTAAAGCATACCGTGATGCATTTCTGCCTTGCTTAAGAGTTTCATCAGGCGGTTTCGATAAAGTTGTGAATAGATTATGTCCTAATGATCCTAAGATCACAAACAAGATCTCTCTATGCAACAAATCTAAAGCGTTCGTTAGAATGGAGTGAGAGTTGAGAGAGGATAGGTATGCACCAGTCCCAGTCTTGGTTGGGAGAGTGGGTGCCAGTCTGCCTGGGTACAGTCGAACTACATGACCGGTTCAATTGGGTACCAACTCCGACTGGGTGCCACACAGCTCTACTCGATATCTAGTAAACTGAGGGTGTGGGTGTGGGTGTTGATCTAGATCTTCTGATATCACTTACACCCACAATCTCACCCACATCCTCACCCACAACTTCACCCACACCCACACATACCTTTTGTATCTGTGCATCATTTTATCTCAGCATGGTCTTCTTTGTTTTTATCTCTCTTCACTTTGCATTACAATAAACACTGACATACATATACACACCATTTCGCCCACCTCTCCCCTCTTTTTTTGTCTTATTTCATAGTTGATAGAGATAAGCGAACAAATAGTTCGTGCGTTGTGTTATACTTCGTGTGTGTGTGTCTGTCGAAGAACAAGGTATGGTGAAATGTAATATTTAATAGTTTGTTTTTTTTCAAATCCATTTTTGTTTTGTGGAATGCCGATTAAAATTTATCATGATGCGGATGCTGATGTAAATGTACTATGGAGCAGGGCTCCGCGGGACTACCAAAAAGCCGTCCCGTCCCACCCTATTCTGTCATGTAGGACGCAATACTTTTTTCTCGAAGTATTATTTAAAAAGTCTACCGAATTTACATTTTGAGTATTGTTTAACACACGTGAATATGTGGAAAAACACTTCGGATCTAAAACAAAATCATCGATTCACTGATAATCACCAATATGATTGACAATGACGGAGTAGGAAAGGCAAATCCAGTCCAATGATCAGTTATGGGTTTGCGAGTATTTTCTATAACAACAGGTGGATTTGTTTTTATTTGGAACATCTGTTAACCTGAACGCACGCGAATTTTTTGAAGTTCCCAGAAGAAGAGAGAAATATATCGACCAAATAGACATTGGAACCACGAGATAGATGCGATACGGATAGTGACGACAAAATATTAAGAGAACTGAAGCACCAGAAGACGGATTGCGACAAAAAAACCATGGAATTGAATGTCGTGATAGAGCATTTTATAACTGTTTCACGCTGTTTAATACATCATTTCCGAGAATCGGAATGATCATCCTAGGAACATATGAGGTTGTTGCTGTTTAGTTAAACAACAACTGTCGACTTCCAAGCACAACAAAGCATTAAATAAATAAATAAACAATGAAAAAGAAGAACGACTTTGAAAAGAAAAAAACTTGAATTATAGTCGTCTGAATATCCAGTTTCATCAAAATACACTAACTAGATCACTTGTAACAACTACTCAGATCTACTTAACATAAAGACATCGCTCAGTTCCAATACATGGGAAACTGTCTGACAACTCTGCGCCATAAGCAATCGTGTCCCGTCCCATCTCGTCCCGCGGAGCTCTGGTATGGAGTAAAACTGTCGCATTTATTGGATACGGAAATCAAAGGCGAGCACAAGCATTGAATTTTGCGTAATAGTGGTGTCAAGAATATCGTCATTGGGAATATTGTTGATGATCATGCTACACAAGCTCGCAAAGATAGATTTAATCCATTGAGTATTGAAGAAGTAGTACGTCAAGGTTATATTCTAATGTTATTGATTCTTGATGAAGATCAACAAACTGTTTGGAATGGAAAAATCCGAACGAATATTAAAATTAATAGTACATTAGTCATTGTAAGTTGATATAATGTTGCCATCAATTTACTTGAGTTGCCAGACGATATGGATGTGGTGCCGGTATACGTGATCGTTATGTTCAAAACATTCCTTATCCATGTTTTATCTCTGTTGAAAAAGATGCCAGTAGTACCGCTATTGGGGCAACACGAGGTGATGGCACCATTGGTTCGTCGTGTCGTGAAGAGGCTGGTATTGATTTATTTGCTGAACAAGCTCTTTGGTCGGAGATTATGGCGATCTGTCGTGAAGACTATCATGTCTTACATGAAGCGATTTTATTTGATACGTATTTAAGTAAGGAGCCCGCTGAAATTTTTGAAAACGTTGCTGATGAACAATTTGTTAAACAATTAAAATATCATTCCCGAATAAGTCACTATGGTCAATTATCAACGATGAATCGTCATGATAGAAAGAACATTCATGGAAAAATTTCGATGTGTTCTTAATGAGAATATTTTATCAGAAAATTTTGCGAAAAAATGGTCAAATACAAAATGGGCAGCAGAAGAATTAGCAAAAGAATGGTAAGAAGTTGAAAACGTACTAATCGTTCAAGCTGATCAACGTGTTCGAGAAATTATCAAACCAGATCGAAAAAAATGAATTTTTGCTTCTCTTTTTTGTCTGGTTGAATAAAAAATATATTGGATTGATTGATTGATTATATATGTATGCATGTATTTTAGATGAATAAACAGAAAAAAGTGACTGAATAAATTCTTCTTGGTATAGGCGTAACTTTTTTTCTTCTCATTGTTTTCGTTCTTCTTATTTTATTCAACTATAAACTCACTGATTATTACATGTATGTAAAATATTCACTTCGGAGTGAAATTATATTTTTTTATATAGATCGACGTTATATGATCCGGCAAAAAAATTCTCATGTTGACCAAATTTAATGATCTTTTTCGATGTTATTGAGGTAAAATAATTGTTCAGTATTCGGAACACGAAAGTTTTCTTTAAGATCCCAAAGAAGAAAATCGACGAAAGCAAAAGTGCGGTATTTGTCCTATTTGGTTCGGTTGAGCTGTGATTTTGATTTCTAGTTCAAATTGCAACTACATACAAAAGAAACCATGGGTACATTTGATGATTTCAAAACGAATCGATACAACAATTGACGAGGTGAACTATTTTATTTTTCTGTAATTGATTCATTTGCAAGGTTTGTTTTGTAGTTTTGCTGTTATGTCTTCGACATCATATCTATCCATGGTTATCGTACGTTTCGATATCCGAATTACATGAGAGCAACCACTTTTTTTTTATTAGGATTATTATTCAAGATGATAGTGTTGTTTATGAAGCAAAACACGTATTTCGATACCTTTTAACAACAGTCATTGGTCGATTATATAAGGTAGAAGTTGATATTTTAGTTATCGTGCTTTTATGAAAATTAATGCAATACAAAGCATATTTAGTCTTCTCAAATGATTCTCAGTTCTGTTATTCTAAGGTGTGCGATTCTGCGAGAAAGTCGTTTAATCCTACTACATATCAGTAGAAACTCATCTAGTTTTTAATTAAGCTAAAATCTGAACAAGTATCATTGAATAGACACAGAATGATTTTTCTCCTTTCTCAGCTGAGAATTAAAGACCTAAAGGTAAGTTTTGATCTGAAAGCTACAGTTCTTTGTTAAAGATCTTATGTCACAGGCGTTCTAAAAAAGTCAACAAGTTGCAGAAAGCTAACAAGTATTGGAGAGAGATCTCTTTCTCGAGATCACTCTATCTACAGTATATATTCTTGCGATTTTTTTTCTCGTGGATACGTACGGAAAAAGAAGTACGATATTACCGAACAAAAAGAAGATATTCTGTTAGCTTCAACATTCATACTATGATTTTCTGCATACTATGGAACCGAAAACAATTGCAACAGCAGAATACGAAACATTTTTTTGGAAACCATCACGACAGCGGCACGTTTTCAACCGCAATGGACATCTCTGATTCGTTCTTCTGATGAAGGACTTGATAGTATCTATGATCATCTGATTTGTATTGATAAATAATTCTCTAAGATAATCAATCGACATCGTCTTTTCTGCTATTATTTACAGACAAACAAATCTTTATATTTTGTGAAAAGCCGAATGGATGAGATACTAAGTGATGATGAAAACATTATTGATGTTATTCATGCACTGCAAGGTATAGATCTTAGAATGCAATGAAAGGATTCTTATGAAATTTATTTTAGATATAATTTTTTCAAATGATGTCAAAGAGAAAGGGTAATGAAAAAAATTTAGGTTTTGCCAGATCTGAGTTCAGTATGTGAACGGCTTATGAACGCTTTTACGACATTTTCAAGATCCATTATTGAACAAACAAGTAAGCTGATTGCTAATTTTTTTATATTTAATTCTATGGCTTGTTTCTCAGTTATTTTATACGATTCTTGATGAAATTCTTCTTCAACTTTTTCCCGAACTACAACTAAATTTCAATATTTCAAGAACTAATACTACGACATCATTCTAAAATAATGTTTTCTTTTACAAACGTTTTATTTCCAACTTTCGTAACAAATATTGACTGATGATTTGCTTCTCTCCATGATATATGATTTCTCTAATAATTTCACTGTTGCTTGTCGTTGTTTTGTTTTACAACTGTGTATAGAAGATTTCTATGAAAAACAAATTTGAATTATCTTTCTAGAAAAGTGTTGAGTTTAGCTGGATGACACACTTGTTATTTGTCACAAGTTTTGCAGTCTTGTGTTGTGTGACTTATATATGTGCACAACAATGCGAGCAAAGTATGGATCTTGCTCGTTTTGATTGTCATCCAGACGATGGTGCATCTCAAGAGAGATGTGAAGCACGAAAATGTTGTTGGCGATTACCTATGCAACAAGGAAATTTGACAGAAAAGCATCGAACTAATTTTCAAGATATAAGTGTTCCATGGTGTTATTATCCATCGGATTTTCCAACTTATTCAATAGTATCCAATGAAACAACAGATTTTGGACAACGAATTCGCATCGTCAAGTCACAAACCACCTTCATGCCAAATGATATTCTGGATTTGACAGTTGATCTTATCTATGAAACACAACAACGATTTCGTATTCGAATCTATGACTCAGTTAATAAAAGATTTGAAGTGCCACTCAATGTGCCCGTGGTAGAAAAAAAAGCTGATATGACTGATTATGAAGTGAAAGTTGCTCAGAAACCATTTGCTATACTAGTTACTCGAAAGTCAACAGGTGTCACATTGTAAGTGCTAATAATAATAATCACAATATTGATAGAAGATTTCGGTATTTTCTTTCAATTGCATCATACAAAACCAAAAGTTTGCGGCAATGGGATTTGTATATAGATTGAGTTTTCATTTCTGATCGTACAGAAAAGTTCTGATAGACTATAACTATAGCGTTCTGCAACGTGAAAGACTAGTTCGATCAAAAAGCTGACTATTCGCTAATTTTGCTGGGATTAAACACGGAGTGATCAACATCTTTCGATATGTCGTATAACTACTCTTAAACACAATGTCATGGCACATTGCTGGAAAACAATATTTATTCAGCATGACTATAGACAATCGTTTCTTTATTCTGTTTAAAACGAAAAATTGTATGGACACTGATATTTTCAGTTAAATTTTCAATTGAGTTTATACTGTGATTGAGGAGATTGCACTGCTCCATTGAAATGTTGTGCATATCCATTTCTGTCTTCCTTTTGTTTAGATTTGATTCAAGTTTATCTCCACTGATCTTTGCCGATCAATTCATACAAATTTCTACTCGCTTATCAAGTCCGTTGCTTTATGGCTTTGGAGAGCACACCCAACCATTGCTGATCAATATAACAAACGAATGGAAAAGATTAACGTTTTGGACACGCGATATCGGTGTACGACCGGATACCAATCTTTATGGTTGATAGAGACTTTTTTGAATTACTATAATATACGATCCTGAGTCTTCTAGGTGTTCATCCATTTCACATCAATCTTGAACTGAATAAGACTGGTCAGACAAATGTTCACGGACAGTTTATCCTCAATGCAAATGCTATGGATGTGAATCTTCAACCATTGCCTGCTCTAACTTACATCACTATTGGTGGCATCATTGATTTGTATGTGTTCACTGGACCAACAGTTCAGAATGTCATTCAACAATATTGGGATGTCATTGGAGTAAGAAAAGAAGAGGAACTATGTCAGATATTCATGCTAGTTTATTCTCATAGAAGCCGTTAATGCCACCCTATTGGACACTTGGATTTCATCTATGCCGTTGGGGATATGGTACGATTGAAAACCTAACGGAAGTTATGCAAGTAATTTGCGACGCTATAAATAGTTAGAATAGACTATCTATTCATTGTAGAGAATGCATGACGCTGATTTTCCAGTCGATATCCAATGGACCGATATTGACACAATGGACTCCCATCTTGATTTTACCTATGATAACAAAACATTCCATGGTCTACCTGAACTTATTCGCACAATGAAAGCTGAAGGCAAACATTATGTTAATATCATCGATCCAGGCATTAGTTCAACACAACCACCGGGTACTTATCCACCATACGATGAAGGATTGAAGCAAGGTATTTTCATCACCAAATACAACTCCACTGAACCAATCGTCGGAGAGGTAATCGTGCATGGTCATCTTTATTGGAAGTAATGCTTGTCGTTTTTTATTTGTAAAGGTTTGGCCTGGTCCCACTGTTTTTCCTGATTTCACAAATCCTAAAACAGTTGAATGGTGGACAAAACTACTTGGAGCTTATCATGAAATCATTCCAGTTGATGGAATGTGGATTGTAAGTGTTTTGTAACCATCATTTATTCTCTCAATCTATACTCTTTATAGGACATGAATGAACCATCAAACTTTGTTGATGGATCTCATGAAGGATGTACCACTAATTCTTTAGATAATCCACCATTCACTCCTCGTATGTAGTTCAATTTATTTTACTAGTTGATAGAGACATAACTACTGACACTAATAGATGTATACGGCGGAAACATTACTGCTAAAACTTTATGTACGTCTGCTCAACAATACTTGTCATCCCATTACAACTTACATAGTATGTATGGTTATTTTGAAGCAAAAGCAACTAATGCGTAAGTGTTTTTTCTAACTAAGCTAACTATGTACATATATATGATGATAATTATGTTATAGTGCTCTTAGAACGATTCTTAAAAAGCGACCATTTGTTTTGTCACGTTCAACATTTGCTGGTTCAGGTCACTACACAACTCATTGGTCTGGTGACAATACTGCTTCGTTTACAGATCTTTACCAATCAATTCCAAGTATGTTTTAAATATTTTTCTTATGCAAAACAAACCGAACATAGCAGCATGAGTTTTATACATATCCAAACCTTGCTCATTTCATCAAATTTATTCTACTTTTCATTTGCTTAGCTATTCTTAACTACAATATATTTGGCATGACATTTTCTGGTGCTGAAATTTGTGGTTTTAATGGTGATACTACGGAAGAACTATGCACAAAATGGATGGTGCTAGGTGCTTTCTATCCATTTATGAGAAATCATAATGCAATTGGTGCTAAAGTAAACATTGTTTGATAAAAATAATCGTACATAAAACTCGATGGTAGTAGATTGTAAACAAAGTCCTATAAAATTGAATAAACTTCATAGGAAGTCTTTATTAATGACTGGAGAGTATGATCTGAAGACAGCTATTATTTACTTTTCATATTTTATTAGGCTCAAGATCCCGCAGTTTTCTCATGGGAAGCTCAACAGATCATGAAACAAGCATTATTTATGAGATATTCACTACTTCCATATTGGTATACACTCTTTTTTAAAGCAAGTACAATTTCAACAACGGTGATAGAACCACTCTTCTTCGAGTATGAATCATCCTACTAATACTTATCTATAAAATTCGATACTTTCTCTCTTTAATTTAGATATCCAAATGATGAGAATACTTATAATATTGATCGACAGTTCCTAGTTGGTCCTGCTATTCTCGTTTCTCCAAATTTAGTTTCAGTAAATAGTTCCACTTAACGAAATGACTTGAAAAATGTTTTCATCTTTCATTTGTTTAGAATTCGTCTATTGTTCATGCTTACGTTCCACAAGATGTTTGGTATGAATTTCCATCAGGTATACAAATAACAACGGTAGGACAATATGTAGATTTTGACACACCAATTCAAAAGATTAATGTTCATATTCGTGGTGGATTTATTATTCCGATGCAAATACCTGGACCTAATCTAGTTATCGGTCGTGGGAATCCATTTGTATTACTTGTTGCATTGTCTCAATCAGGAAATGCTAGTGGAAGTCTTTTTTGGGATGATGGTGATTCCATGGGTATGTTACAAGTATTCATTTCTTGGACTGGAAAACAGTATGCTGTAATAATTTAGATACGATTGAAACTAAAACATACAACTACTTCGAATTCAATGTAACAGCATCAGTAAGTTTTCAGGATTTACAGTCGTTAAGGTGTTCAATATTGTCTCAAAGATTGATATGAGATAACTAAAGTATTTCCTAGAGAAGTTGCAGGTAGAATTGTATAATCGACAAACCGATGAAGGGATGTGAATATCAGCACAATAGGAACAGGTCTTTCGCCTGAAACTATCGATCTTCTTCATGCTTATGAATTCCTTTCTTAACTGTTTCACGTATGTATAGAATGTCTTGGTAATCAATGCTTTGGTAACAAATGACAAAAATTCCTCAATGGCATTAGGTATGGTAAAAGTTCTTGGTTTGCATACAAGTGTGACTAATGTAAATGTGAATGGAAAAACATATTCAAATTTTGTTTACAATATTCCCGATGATGTATGTATTTGATATCATTGATTTCAATAAGTAAACAAATATGATCTATTGTCGATACTTTAGATTTTACTTATTTACGGACTTGATTTGAATATGTTAGATGAAACAAGACAAACAATAGAATGGACAACAGCAAATTGATAATGATAGGAGAGAAGAGAGAGAATGACTGTTTTTTTTTTATTTCTTCGATAAAGATAAGATTAGTGTTTTCTTTTTACCAGTGTCTTTCAAAATATTGATTAATAGTTTTTTTTATCTGTAATTTCGGGTTTTTTTCTTATTTTGATGTTTTTATAAAAAATATGCATTCCATATGTTGATTAGATGAATAAATAAACAAGTTTATTGAATGATTACAATCTATTTTTAGATATAAGATACACTCTTCGTCCATGTAAATATTTTTCGTCTCGAAAAAATTTAATCATTATATGAACAACCTCATATAATGTTCCATTAATATGATTCATCTTTCATCTTGCAAACCACCAAAACTAAATGTGTAAAATAACAATAATGTGATATATAAAAGTCACAAATATCAAATAATACATGAAATAGAATAGAAACAACAACTTGATAATTTTTTTAGTCTCATAATTATCCCTGATACTGTTAAAAAGTTCTTTCACGAATATTCAAGCAGTATATACTATCAATAAATAAAAGCTTATTTATTTAAATAAATGGAAAGCAAATGTATAGTTTTAATAATTTCGATTTCTCTCTTCATCACTTCAATCCAATGATGTTGATGATTGGATGCTCTTTTTAAATGAAAATCTAATTTACTAGTGTGCACGCAGCAAAAGAAAATATCCCTAGAATTTTTTAATCTTTTTATATTCTAAAAAAATCTTATATAAAAAACTTTAAAAAGTTCGAATTGGTTTTATTACATGTATTATACAAACATCTTCTAATGAAAATATGTTATATTCTCAAATACAATAGCTTCAAACAATATCATAGCTACTAGCATTACACGGATCACAATCAATTTTTTTTTCTTTTAAAAGTACTAAAAAATCGATATAGACAGGTGCGGATGCTAGCTGAGTAGAAAGAAACAGTGATATCCACATTCACACTCTTTAAATAACAAATGTTGATCGAGTGCTATACAAAAAATTCAAACGGATCTGCTCGAAACCCACAATAGCTACAAAGAGTTAAGAAATGTTCCTCCCTCTTTCTCATTGATGCATTAGAATCTCCAGTGAGAATGAAATCATAGACTATCAATAGAAGAATTTAATGAGGAATACATGTTTTAATAATTTAGCCAGTACACAGCCATGATCCGTAGTAAGTCAAAGAGTTCTACAAGATCGATCGCTTACGTGTTTTGTGTATCTATCTCTATACGCGATGCCTTTAAATTTTTACTTACTGCTATACAAACACCTTCACTATGATTACTGCCTTTTTGATAAAAAAAAAAGTGAAATTAGGTGATTTTTTTGTGTTCTATGGCTTTTCCGCTTCCATAAATATGCATATGAATGCTTCTAGTTTGTATACTAATTAAATAACTTCTAGTAATCGTGCATATCCCATTGTTTAGAGTATATTAATGTTAATGTTGTTAATGACAATTGAGTCATTAGTTTCCAAATGATTTAGTACTAAACTTAATGATCTATAAGAGTATTACTCTTTAAGATCTCAACAACTAATTTTCGATTCTATCCTGAAAAGATCCAATATCTCAACTAATGCAATGTTTGGTCCAATGGACTTACTACATTGTAAAATAAAATGTTTTTCAAAAAATTGAAACTCCTTCGAAAG